AGGTCTCCTGGACCAAGACCAAGATCCAGGACTTTGGGGACTTGCTAGAAGAACCTGTTCAGTCAGTATGCCAGTCACAGAGAGCTTCACATACCTTGGCAATGTAGTTCATAACTCTGGGCTGTCAGACCAGGAAGTCAGCAGACGGATTGGCCTCGCAGCAGTGGTCATGAACTCTCGACAAGAGTATTTGGAGATGATGGTACCTGTGCAGAGGGACCAAGCTACATGGTTTCGAGGCCCAAATAATGCCAGTTTTACTATACGGTTGTGAAACCTAGATGTTATTGTGCACCTTGGAGTCTTGTCTTGATGCCTTTTGTAATAGGTTAGATTGATATTAAGGATGAAGATGATAATAATAATATTATTATCATTGTAGTTATTATTATTATCCCCCTCCTCACCATCATCATCATCATTAATATTATAAAACTAATAACACCATCCATCATAATACATAATAATGAAATCAACAGCAACACTAATACTAACAATAAAAGTAATAATAATGACAAGTAAAGAACTGCAACTGCATATCCCTATTCCTTATTGCATGTTCACAAAATGCAATTCGCAACTGCAAAGGCGCTAAAATTTTGTGGAACAGTATACTTAGAGGGATTAGATGATTATCTTTCGATATATATTGGTACATAATTTCATGTATTTGAATATATTTCTATGCTGTGTATGTTTTTCTTCGATTGTGTTGTTATAGTGTTGTATCCACTTTGGGTTATGTTGTAGTTTGAATTGTGTGGTAATCTTTCGACAGGGTTTGCACAAAGTCGCCAGGGAAATCGCATTCATAAAGCAATATTTTCTTAACTAATTTCCGCCTTCAATTCATCATAGTAGTGAACTCCGTAAATACAATGCTAGAGAAAAACACGTACAAAGATTTTAATTTTTTTTTTTCAATATATTCTTTACCTAGAACAATGATGAGGCAGAACATGTGATCATTACATAGATTTTTATATAGATAATTAGATCGTCATATTATTTTATTATGATGCATGTCTGGAATTCATGAACAAATTGCAACATGAACAACGAAGGGAAGGACAAGAAAACACACGAATACGCCGAGGGCCTTTTCGCTATTGCTTCGTCAAACATGCCCTGTATGCCGTGACGAAGCAATAGCGAAAAGGCCTTCGGCATATTCGTGTGATTTCTTGTTCTTCCCTTCGTTGTTCCTGTTGCATTATGATGAATATATATATTTTTGTAGATTTATCGGTTTCTCTCACTTTCAATGCCATTTTACTGGAATTTATCAGATAATAGTGTTTCATGATTAAGTACACAATTCTGCGTGACTTTATACCTGAGTGATCCTGCCACTGTTACCAGAATCAGGCAGTCAGAAGAATAACTTTCATTAAGTAATTCTAACCGGTATTTAGAAATTTCTATGAATTCTTAGCTATGGCCGCTACCGAAATGTACAACTTCAATCCTGAGTTCTAATGTTTAGCAGATTTAAAGATCATCCTGATTTTCACTTTTGATTTACAAAACCCATTTGACGTGTTAACCCCAAGTAGGGCAACCAGAGCCAATTTATGCCTTGTTATCAGGTTTCAATATTCGCTGACAATAGAGTGTCACCTCCAAGGGATGAGCTGCTTCCTTCAAGCCAGGGTCTCGGGGCACTTAAGGTGGATGTGATAACGGTCGATATGCAGTGAAACCGATGATAACAATTAAGTAATGATGATGTTGGTGAGTATAACGATATGATAATCGTGATAAAGGTAATGAAGACCATGGTGAGAATTATAATGATATTGGCAATAATAGTAGTAGTAATAGCAGTAATAATAATAATAATCATGATGATAATGACAGAAATGAAGATATTGACACTAATTATAATAATAATAATAATAAGGGAAATAATGATGATTAATAATGTGGATGATAGTAATAGCAATATTGGTAATGATTATAATGATATTGACAAGAACAATGATAAGGATAATAATGAAAATAAGATTGATCATATAAATGAGAATAGTAATAAGAATAACCATAATAATTACAATTATAATATTGCTAATGATACATATCCTTTCAGTATAATGATTATAATAATAATATAATAACAGTAATAATGATGACTATAATAACGATAATAATAATGAAAATAATGACAACCATAGTAATGATAATAACAATAATAGTCATGATAATAATAATGATTATAACATTAAGAAAAAGAATGATGATAATGCTTATCATATCTATCATAATAAGTACGATGTGATTACAATAATAAAAATCATAACAATAAATATTGTAATGGTAAATACGATGATACTCATAACAATATTAATGATAACACTAAATATAAAAATGATAAATAAATAATGATGATAATGAACATGATATATACATATATATTCCATGTATGTATATATATATATATATATATATATATATATATATATATATATATATATATATATATATATATATATGTAAATATATATGTATATATGTATATATATATATATATATATATATATATATATATATATATATATATATATATATATATATATATATATATATCATATATACACATATCATATATATATATATATATATATATATATATATATATATATATATATATATATATATATATATATATATATATATATATATATATATATATATATATATATATATATTATATATATATATATATATATATATATATATATATATATATGTGTGTGTGTGTGTGTGTGTGTGTGTGTGTGTGTGTGTGTGTGTGTGTGTGTGTGTGTGTGTGTGTGTACATGTGTACATATATGTATATACATATATATATATATATATATGTGTGTGTGTGTGTGTGTGTGTGTGTGTGTGTTGTGTGTGTGTGTGTGTGTGTGTGTGTGTGTGTGTGTGTGTGTGTGTGTGTGCATGTGTCTTTGTGTGTGTGCGTGTATATTTATATATAACATATATATGTATATAAACATTATATATATATATATATATATATATATATATATATATATATATATATATATATATATATATATATATATATGCATGTATCAGATAATGAGCAATGAGCACAGAGATGGACCGCTTAAAAGTTCTCGTGAAAAGCGGAGGTATTCACAGAAACACGTCGGCAATATATTTAGACACATTTCCTTAAAATCAAAGCCAAGACAGTGGACACAACTTTGGCTTTCAAGCAGTGATTGTCCGTTAGACGTGCTCGGCATAAATAGATATATTCGTACTTAACCATCCGGGGGAAAGAAAATAATACTAAAGATACTGATGATGAATAACACTAATGATAACGGTGATGGCGAGGAGGGAGAACTTCATAATGATAATACTGACAATGGAAATTGATATTTGATAATGGTAATAACAATTATGCTAATAGTCTTCTCTTATCATTATTAATTTGATCTCTACTTGTCAGGCAAAGGCAGGCACGTTTTGTTTAGCCTGATGAGGTGTTTTCTTTTGTAAAAAGTAAATCACATAATGTTGTTTAAAGAGAGAAACATTTGACGGTAAAACCTGAGTGTAGTGAAATACTAACTATGAAGGCTTCATTACATTTTATTTTCTCTCTACCTTTTAACCCCTTCCCCCCTCAGCTCTTGTCTTCTTTCTCTCCATCCATTCGCCCTCTCCCCCCCTTCATTCCCCATCCTTCCCTCCTCCCGCCCCTTCCCCTTCTCCTCCTTTCTGCTCATGGAGATGCGTCGTCACTCTCTGCTTGGGAAGACGCGCATGACTCGCATTCACTCCCTCCCTCTGGGGTCTCGTCCTCGCTCTGTGCTTGGGGAGCCTCGGGCTTCTCGATCGGCCGACGTTTCCCTCTCCGTCCGGCTTCTGCTTGCGAAGTGACTGCTTGCGGAGACTCTCTCAGAGTGTCTGCTTGCGGGGTCTTGGTCCGTTTTGTTGCTTGGGGATCTTTGCTCTTCCTTCCTTCTTCTGGCCCTGAAGCTCTGTTCCTCCCCCTGCTTTCTGCTTGCGAAGATCTCTTGGTGCCTGCTGCTTGCGGAGACTTCTTCCTCCTCGCTGCCCGTGAGGACTGCCCCTGCTTGCGAGACCGTCGTGCTGAGAGGCATCCATCGGCTCTGCTTGAAGAGATTCCTGTTCCCAAAAGATGAGAAAAAGTGTCATCAATATCTCTATCAATCTTCTTATCTATTATATGCGTGCACGTGCATTAGTGCGTGTGCGTTTCTCTGAGTTTGCATTCATATGTGCGCATGTTTGTCTCCGTAACGATATCCGAGACCCTTACCTGCAATTCATGCAACTGATTTTCTTTATCGTCCAGTCGCGATTGCAAAGTCCTGACCTTTCTCTCGTGTATCTCTAGCTGACCCTGAAATATATGATTATCTATACTCTTCCATTAGATTTATCATCCGACTTACTGTCTATCCTCCTCCCTACCTAGTGCCAATCTTTTCGCCAAACTTCTTCGCTATTTACTGATTATTCCTTCTTTGGCTAGCCACATTTTCAAAGATCATCTACGATCTACGAAAAGTAATGCAACTTTTAAATTACTTTCTGTCCGAGTCACAACCAGGCGATAATCTGTTATCTAGGCACTGGGTGTTATAAGTGTGGTTGGCATCAAAGGTTCAAAAGAATGACATTCATCCATGCTATCCACTTACACCTACGTTCTGAACGTATATAACGCAAATACAGCCACACACAAACACACAAAACAGATACACAATGTACACTATACGAATGCACACGCAGGTAGAGCATACATACACATATACTTACCTCCAATTGGCTGACTTGTATTTCTTTTTCTTCCAGCACCGAGCTCAGTCGTCCGCATTCAGCCTCTTTCTCCTTTAGCTGCCGCTGTGTGGAATAGATTTATAAAAAATAAGATATGTAAACTAATTATAATGCGTCCGGAAAGGAAGAACTGGCAACCAAGCCGATTCGCAGTTTGTTTTTTTTCCCATCAGCTGATGTTTAACACTCATGTTTACATATACTTTGCATTCAAAACACACATGCAATATTTTTCCTAACTGCTTTAAATGAAATTCCGTTCCTTCAACGCCACTTTATTATGTCTGAGTCAAGGCCAAGGTTGAGTTGCCACTTCTTCTTTTCCTGAGACTGGATGGAGGATGAGTAAGATTTCCTGTCAAGGCAGACGGTTAGTTTTGCTGTTGTTGAAGCTCTAATTATGATCGTCCTCCTCGTTATTCCATTATCAAAATCACTGTATTTATTGATGTTATCTCCATTTTATTTCTTTATTGTTATTATTTTAGAATTCTAATAACTTGTCATTATTCACCATCAAAACCATCATCGCGTCTGTACATGCACACACACACACACACACAAAGACACACACATACATATATGGTTACATATCGTTTCCTTCTCCCTGCCACTCAAGATCGACCTCCTCCCTCACCTTCAGTGTCTTGACCCTCTTGTCTCGGGACTTGAGCGCCTCCTGGGCTTCCCTGAGTTGGCTCGCCGCCTCGGCCTCCTTCAGGTGCTGCGCGTTTCTGAGACTCAGCAGTTCCTTCGTACTTTGTTCCTTGAAAGGGAGATTCAGGATGTGTTCTTTAAGATCTATGACGTATGTAATCTGTAATGAATCTGTAGACGTCACTGGAATTCAGCAAAGGCTTCGGCATAGGGTGGACGTTCTCATCGACGCATTTCGAAGTTCAACATTACGAATATATGAGTCTAATGAGCAAGAAACTGTATGTGCAGTTGAAATGGGAATCTCAGCATGTACAGTTAGAACGAAAATACATAGCGTTATCATTTCCATTAATGGTTTATAATACGTAGTGTGTGTGTACAAGGGAGAGAGAGAGAGAGATAGGAAAAGGAAGAGGAAGAAGAGAGGAAGGGAGGAAGGAGAAGAGTAAAAGAGAGAGAGGGTGAGGGAGAGAGGAATAGGAAGTGGAAACGAGACACAAGAGAGAGAAAAAGCATGCATGTACGTACGATCTCACCTGTGTTTTGAAGGATAATCAGATGAACCACCTGTAATAACTTTATCGTGTCATGCAGAACGGAAGCCGAAACGACCTGTTCTTTGTTCTCGCCGGCTGCCTGGGTCTCCCTTCCTCGCCGTTCCTCCTGACGCCTTTCCTGGAACGGACCCCGATCAGGGCACCTAAGAGCGTCGCTAGGACCCCTAACCCTCAGGACATCCCAACATCACATCCGACTTTAAGGAATGCTCTTCAGGACGCTCCTTAGCAGACGCAAGCGCAAAGGGCGTTGGCGAGGTGTCTCAAGGGCGGCGCCTGAGTGAGCAAGATGGCCGACAGTCAAGCAGCCGCGCTCGCCAGTATGTAGATGTGTGTGTGTACATATACGCAAATATATATATATATATATATATATATATATATATATATAGCTACACAGACAAACACAGTTTCATATATATGTGTGTATGTGTGCGTGCGTGTGTGCGTGTATGTGTGTGTGTGCATCACCCTATTTCCGTCTCATTTCCGTTTTCTTTCAATGGCGTGAGCCTGTTTGTGATGGCGCCGTGTCTTTGCCAATCCTCGGAGCTTTCGAATTCCTTCTGAAATCTCATTCTATACCATCTCTATCCTAATCTAAATCTAATTCTAAAGCTCAATCTAACCATCTTATCCTAATGTAAATCTAGGACTAAATCTAGTTCTAAATCTCAATTCTATACCCATGTCTCAATCTGTCAAATTCTAAATCTCAATTCTCTACCATCTGGCAGCCTCTGCCTCTGACCTCGGAGTCCCTGGCGCGTCCGAACGCCGCTCGCGCCCCACGCTGCCACACGCCCGTTTGCGGATCCCCGCATGCACGGCAGTTGGTCGTTACCAGTTTAATCCTTGTCTCGTGTTCGTCTCTCTGCTGGTCGGACTACATCTATCATTTCTAATCACACACACTAACGAGTTTCCTGCTTACTCCTCGATTCACAATTGCACGCTTGGATCATATTCCGGTGCGTGATTTTGCTTTCGATTCGCGTCCTGCTTCTCCTTGTCTGTATTGCTCTTTCTCAGTTCTCTCTTCATATTCTTATTAGTATTCCCTCTCATTCCTATCCAGGCTCAATTCTCAAATCTTCCTTCTTATCTCACATCAAGTGTACTTGATTCTTCGTCTCTTAATTGCACGTCCGGTCAATGTTTGTGGTATATGTGTATGTGTGTAAATGCGTATTCAAATACAGACACACTAAGCACATGCTCACACGCCGACTGTACATCCACGATTCTCAACAGAGACCTGGAAGGCTTAGGCGATCCATTTCTTTCCAGGAGGAACACAAAGCTGAGCTGCGGAACGTCGCAGAAAATCAACAAGAAAAAGAGGCGGAGATTCTGAGGATGCAGAATGAAATAGTCGGTTTGAAGGAAACAGTTGCAAGTAGAGACGAGAAGATCAAGAATTGAGATAGGAATGAGAGGAATACTAATAATAATATGAAAGAGAGACTGAGAAAGAGCAATACAGACAAGGAGAAGCAGGACGCGATTCGAAAGCAAAATCACGCACCGGAATATGATCCAAGCGTGCAAATGTGAATCGAGGAGTAAGCAGGAAACTCGTTAGTGTGTGCGATTAGAGATGGTAGATCGTAGTCCGACCAGCAGAGAGACGAACACGAGACAAGGATTAAACTGGTAACCGACCAACTGCCGTGCATGCGGGGATCCGCAAACGGGCGGTGTGGCAGCGTGGGGCGCGAGCGGCGTTCGGACGCGCCAGGGACTCCGAGGTCAGAGGCAGAGGCTGCCAGATGGTAGAGAATTGAGATTTAGAATTTGACAGATTGAGACATGGTATAGAATTGAGATTTAGAACTAGATTTAGTCCTAGATTTAGAATGGTATAGAATTGAGCTTTAGAATTAGATTTAGATTAGGATAGAGATGGTATAGAATTAGATTTCAGAAGGAATTCGAAAGCTCCGAGGATTGGGCAAAGACACGGCGCCATCACAAACAGGGCTCACGCCATTGAAAGAAAACGGAAATGAGACGGAAATAGGGTGATGCACACACACACATACACGCACACACGCACGCACACATACACACATATATATGAAACGTGTGTGTGTGTGTGTATGCGTATATATATATATATATATATATTATATATATATATATATATATATATATATATATATTTATATACACATATTTATACATATATATATATATATATATATATATATATATAATATATATATATATATTATATATATATATATATATATATATATATATATATGTATATATATATATATATATATATATATATATATTATGTCTATATATATGTTATATATATATATATATATATATATATATATATATATATAATATATATATGCGTATATGTACACACACACATCTACATACTGGCGAGCGCGGCTGCTTGACTGTCGGCCATCTTGCTCACTCAGGCGCCGCCCTTGAGACACCTCGCCAACGCCCTTTGCGCTTGCGTCTGCTAAGGAGCGTCCTGAAGAGCATTCCTTAAAGTCGGATGTGATGTTGGGATGTCCTGAGGGGTTAGGGGGTCCTAGCGACGCTGGGAATGTTCTTAGGTGCCGGCCCAGGACACTGATCGGGGTCCGTTCCAGGAAAGGCGTCAGGAGGAACGGCGAGGAAGGGAGACCCAGGCAGCCGGCGAGAACAAAGAACAGGTCGTTTCGGCTTCCGTTCTGCATGACACGATAAAGTTATTACAGGTGGGTTCATCTGATTATCCTTCAAAACACAGGTGAGATCGTACGTACATGCATGCTTTCTCTCTCTTTGTCTCTGTCTCTTCCGTTTCCACTTCCTATTCCTCTCCCTCACCCTCTCTCTTTTACTCTTCTCCTTCCTCCTTCCTCTCTCTTCCTCTTCCTTTTCCTATCTCTCTCTCTCTCCCTTGTACACACACAGCACATATTATAAACCATAAATGGAAATGATAAACGCTATGTATTTTCGTCCCAACTGTACATGCTGAGATTCCCATTTCAACTGCACATACAGTTTCTTGCTCATTAGACTCATATATTCGTAATGTTGAAATTCGAAATGCGTCGATGAGAACGTCCACCCTATGCCGAAGCCTTTGCTGAATTCCAGTGACGTCTACAGATTCATTACAGATTACATAACGTCATAGATCTTAAAGAACACATCCTGAATCTCCCTTTCAAGGAACAAAGTACGAAGGAACTGCTGAGTCTCAGAAACGCGCAGCACCTGAAGGAGGCCGAGGCGGCGAGCCAACTCAGGGAAGCCCAGGAGGCGCTCAAGTCCCGAGACAAGAGGGTCAAGACACTGAAGGTGAGGAGGAGGTCGATCTTGAGTGGCAGGGAGAAGGAAACGATATGTAACCATATATGTATGTGTGTGTCTTTGTGTGTGTGTGTGTGTGTGCATGTACAGACGCGATGATGGTTTTGATGGTGATATAATGACAAGGTAAATAATGACAAGCAATAAAAAGAAATAAAATGGGATATAAATACAGTGATTTTGATAATGGAATAACGAGGAGGACGATCATAATTAGAGCTTCAACAACAGCAAAACTAACCGTCTGCCTTGACAGGAAATCTTACTCATCCTCCATCCAGTCTCAGGAAAAGAAGAAGTGGCAACTCAACCTTGGCCTTGACTCAGACATAATAAAGTGGCGTTGAAGGAACGGAATTTCATTTAAAGCAGTTAGGAAAAATATTGCATGTGTGTTTTGAATGCAAAGTATATGTAAACATGAGTGTTAAACATCAGCTGATGGGAAAAACAAACAAACTGCGAATCGGCTTGGTTGCCAGTTCTTCCTTTCCGGACGCATTATAATTAGTTTACATATCTTATTATTTTATAAATCTATTCCACACAGCGGCAGCTAAAGGAGAAAGAGGCTGAATGCGGACGACTGAGCTCGGTGCTGGAAGAAAAAGAAATACAAGTCAGCCAATTGGAGGTAAGTGTATGTGTATGTATGCTCTACCTGCGTGTGCATTCGTATAGTGTACATATTGTGTATCTGTTTATGTGTGTTTGTGTGTGGCTGTATTTGCGTTATATACGTTCAGAACGTATGGGTGTAAGTGGATAGCATGGATGAATGTCATTCTTTTGAACCTTTGATGCCAACCATACTTATAACACCAGTGCCTAGATAACAGATTATCGCCTGGTTGTGACTCGGACAGAAAGTAATTTAAAAGTTGCATTACTTTTCGTAGATCGTAGATGATCTTTGAAAATGTGGCTAGCCAAAGAAGGAATAATCAGTAAATAGCGAAGAAGTTTGGCGAAAAGATTGGCACTAGGTAGGGAGGAGGATAGACAGTAAGTCGGATGATAAATCTAATGGAAGAGTATAGATAATCATATATTTCAGGGTCAGCTAGAGATACACGAGAGAAAGGTCAGGACTTTGCAATCGCGACTGGACGATAAAGAAAATCAGTTGCATGAATTGCAGGTAAGGGTCTCGGATATCGTTACGGAGACAAACATGCGCACATATGAATACAAACTCAGAGAAACGCACGCACACACTAATGCACGTGCACGCATATAAATGGATAAGAAGATTGATAGAGATATTGATGAAACTTTTCTTTTGGGAATAGGAGTCTCTTCAAGCAGAGCCGATGGATGCTTCTCAGCGCCCGGACGCGCTTGTGCCTGGGCCACACGACGGTCTCGCAAGCAGGGGGCAGTCCTCACGGGCAGCGAGGAGGAAGAAGTCTCCGCAAGCAGCAGGCACCAAGAGATCTTCGCAAGCAGAAAGCAGGGGAGGAACAGAGCTTCAGGGCCAGAAGAAGGAAGGAAGAGCAAAGATCCCCAAGCAACAAAACGGACCAAGACCCCGCAAGCAGACACTCTGAGAGAGTCTCCGCAAGCAGTCACTTCGCAAGCAGAAGCCGGACGGAGAGGGAAACGTCGGCCGATCGAGAGGCCCGAGGCTCCCCAAGCACAGAGCGAGGACGAGACCCCAGAGGGAGGGAGTGAATGCGAGTCATGCGCGTCTTCCCAAGCAGAGAGTGACGACGCATCTCCATGAGCAGAAAGGAGGAGAAGGGGAAGGGGCGGGAGGAGGGAAGGATGGGAATGAAGGGGGGGAGAGGGCGAATGGACGGAGAGAAAAGAAGAAGAAGCTGAAGGGGGAAGGGGTTAAAAGGTAGAGAGAAAATAAAATGTAATGAAGCCTGCATAGTTATGATTTCACTACACTCAGTTTTACCGTCAAATGTTTTTCTTTAAACATTATTATGTGATTTACTTTGTACAAAAGAAAACCTTCTCATCAGGCTAAACAAAACGTGCTTGCCTTTGCCTGACAAGTACAGATCAAATTAATAATGATAAGAGAAGACTATTAGCATAATTGTTGTTACCATTATCAAATAGCGATATTTTCATTATCAGTATTATCATGATGAAGTTCTCCCTCCTCGTCATCACAGTTATCATTAGTGTTATTCATCAATCAGTATCTTTAGTATTTTTCTTTCCCCCGGATGGTTTTGTACGAATATATCCATTTATGCCGAGCACGTCTAACGGACAATCACTGCTTGAAAGCAAAGTTTGAGCTCACATGTGTTCTGGCTTTGATTTTAAGGAATGTGCTTCGGTAATTATATTAAGACACAATTTCCTTTAAAATCAAAGCCAGTACAGGTGGACACACTCTTATTGGCTTTTCAAGCAGTGATTGTCCGTTAGACGTGCTCGGCATAAATAGATATATTTCGTACTTAACCATCCGGGGAAAGAAATAATACTAAAGATACTGATGATGAATAACACTAATGATAACGGTGATGGCGAGGAGGGAGAACTTCATCAATGATAATACTGACAATGGAAATATTGATATTTGATAATGGTAACAACAATTATGCTAATAGTCTTCTCTTATCATTATTAATTTGATCTGTACTTGTCAGGCAAGGCAGGCACGTTTTGTTTAGCCTGATGAGAAGGTGTTTTCTTTTGTACAAAGTAAATCACATAATAATGTTTAAAGAAAGAAACATTTGACGGTAAAACTTGAGTGTAGTGAAATCATAACTATGCAGGCTTCATTACATTTTATTTTCTCTCTACCTTTTAACCCCTTCCCCCTTCAGTTCTTGTCTTCTTTCTCTCGTCCATTCGCCCTCTCCCCCCCCTTCATCCCTATCCTTCCCTCCTCCCGCCCCTTCCCCTTCTCCTCCTTTCTCTCATGGAGATGCGTCGTCACTCTCTGCTTGGGAAGACGCGCATGACTCGCATTCACTCCCTCCCTCTGGGTCTCGTCCTCGCTCTGTGCTTGGGGAGCCTCGGGCCTCTCGATCGGCCGACGTTTCCCTCTCCGTCCGGCTTCTGCTTGCGAAGTGACTGCTTGCGGAGACTCTCTCAGAGTGTCTGCTTGCGGGGTCTTGGTCCGTTTTGTTGCTTGGGGATCTTTGCTCTTCCTTCCTTCTTCTGGCCCTGAAGCTCTGTTCCTCCCCCTGCTTTCTGCTTGCGAAGATCTCTTGGTGCCTGCTGCTTGCGGAGACTTCTTCCTCCTCGCTGCCCGTGAGGACTGCCCCCTGCTTGCGAGACCGTCGTGTGGCCCAGGCACAAGCGCGTCCGGGCGCTGAGAAGCATCCATCGGCTCTGCTTGAAGAGACTCCTGTTCCCAAACGAATTAAAAGTGTCATCAATATATCTATCAATCTTCTTATCTACTTATATGCGTGCACGTGCATTAGTGTGTGCGTGCGTTTCTCTGAGTTTGTATTCATATGTGCGCATGTTTGTCTCCGTAACGATATCCGAGACCCTTACCTGCAATTCATGCAACTGATTTTCTTTATCGTCCAGTCGCGATTGCAAAGTCCTGACCTTTCTCTCGTGTATCTCTAGCTGACCCTGAAATATATGATTATCTATACTCTTCCATTAGATTTATCATCCGACTTACTGTCTATCCTCCTCCTACCTAGTGCCAATCTTTTCGCCAAACTTCTTCGCTATTTACTGATTATTCCTTCTTTGGCTAGCCACATTTTCAAAGATCATCTACGATCTACGAAAAGTAATGCACCTTTTAAATTCACTTTCTGTCCGAGTCACAACCAGGCGATAATCTGTTATCTAGGCACTGGGTGTTATAAGTATGGTTGGCATCAAAGGTTCAAAAGAATGACATTCATCCATGCTATCCACTTACACACATACGATCTGAATGTATATAACGCAAATACAGCCACACACAAACACACATAAATAGACACAATGTGTACACTATACGAATGCACACGCAGGTAGAGCATACATACACATACACTTACCTCCAATTGGCTGATTTGTATTTCTTTTTCTTCCAGCACCGAGCTCAGTCGTCCGCATTCAGCCTCTTTCTCCTTTAGCTGCCGCTGTGTGGAATAGATTTATAAAATAATAAGATATGTAAACTAATCATAATGCGTCCGGAAAGGAAGAACTGGCAACCAAGCCGATTCGCAGTTTGTTTGTTTTTCCCATCAGCTGATGTTTAACACTCATGTTTACATATACTTTGCATTCAAAACACACATGCAATATTTTTCCTAACTGCTTTAAATGAAATTCCGTTCCTTCAACGCCACTTTATTATGTCTGAGTCAAGGCCAAGGTTGAGTTGCCACTTCTTCTTTTCCTGAGACTGGATGGAGGATGAGTAAGATTTCCTGTCAAGGCAGACGGTTAGTTTTGCTGTTGTT